GGTGGGGGGGGGGGGGGGGGGGGGGGGGGGGGAGGGGGGGGAGGGGGAGGGCGGGCTCCCGGCTGGCACCCGCGGAACCAAGCGGGCCGTCCGTTTGGGGACGCTCGGCCGTCGCGCCGGGTCGCTATGGAGCCGGACGCCGGGTCGGTGCGCGGCGCGGTACTGCGGCTGAGGCGGCGACTCCATCCGAGCAGCGTGCGGGAGGGCCTTCGGCTGCGGCGCCCCGTGCTGAGGCGTCACCTGCGACGGTTGAGACACCACCGGTTGAGACACAGAGGGAAGCCGGGCGGGCAGCCGGGCAGCCGTCTGCCAAGCAGCTGCCTGCTGAGCCGCTGTCTGGTGGGCCTGTCGGGAATGTTTCGCAGATGGAACCAAACTAAACCGCCGGGTAGTGTGGTGATGTAAGAAAGCCTCAAGTTCATCCCAGATAAAGAACCCCAAACCAATTCCCATGTACATTATTGGCTGGTATCTACCGAAAAGCGTCAGGTTAAAGCGCTTTTCAAGTGAAAGTGTTTGTGCCATCTGTATTGTTCAAGATGTAGTTAGTTTTTTTGCGTTTTCTAAATCACAGAGTGCTCTGTTTCCACTCCCACGGACGCTCCCTAAATATCACTAGTTAATCTGGGCCAGACGGTCTTGGAGTAGTAACCAGTGCATCTTGTGAACATTTCGATTGTTCTATCTGGTGTTTTTCCTTTTTTGAAGTCGTTCGCTCTGGGTGGCGGGCTGCGCCCGCTCAGACCACCGTTAGGCCGGCTCGTGCTGATGCCGTTAATGTTTGGTTCGTTTTTTGAGCGTGAAAGAATAGTCTAGCCATTCTTTCATGTGTCTAGACACCCCCACACGCTTAACGCTGTTCGTCTTGCATAGAATCAACTGATCGTTGTCAAGACTTGTGCAGTTGGCCTTTAGTAAGAGTTTCCTGTTTTTTTTTCAGCACCACAACGCACACGCACGCACACGCACGCATACACATACCTGTCCATGTGCGCTTACTTACACCGCTACATATCCATTAATTTTTGATAGGAAGCTGTGCAAATCACGACTGAGCTCAGATTCATGTCTATGAAGTGGCGCGGCCTGGCGGAGCGGCATAAAAGACTAGACGTGGTCAACTTCGTGAAGGATGATAGGTTTAATGCAGTATTTCTCCATATACCCACATGGCTGTAGGCGGCATTACACTTTTTCAATACGCTTTGGTGTGGCGAAAGTTTCATTTCTACAAAACATCAAAGAGCCGAGGAGCTACAATTTTGCTCAAAATTCTGTGCAGCACGAACTATGATTTAAGATACCGTCCCAATGGGACCTTCGTTAGCACAGGGTGCGAGATAAACTCTAATGATTACACTATACCGTCCCAATGGGACCTTCGTTAGCACAGGGTGCGAGATAAACTCTAATGATTACACTATACCGTCCCAATGGGACCTTCGTTAGCACAGGGTGCGAGATAAACTCTAATGATTACACTTCCATTAGCAAATATGGCCCGAACTGGAATGATCCTACTTTCTTTGAGTCAATTGATGCTGAGCTGGAAAGTCTTCTGCAGTGTGACAGCGTAATTGGTGGCGAGTTTAACATTGTTATGAACCACAGAGAGGACTCTAACTACGTGCATGAACATAACGTAAATGGAAAAACTGGATTTCCTGAAGTTGCCGTAGAGCACGGTATGGTTGATAGATGGAGGCACTTAAATCCAACCGACCATAAGTTTACATGGATCAAATTCAACCTGGTCAAATGAAGTAGATTTGGTATGTACACCGTAAGGGACCATTTACTTAATTGCGTCTCAAACAACGAGACTCAAGCTAGTTATAGAACAGGCTCTAACATGGCAACATTTACGTGCAAAACGTCAGCAACAAAGAACCAGGGCTGTGGAAGTTCAGTGATTTCTTGTTAACAGGTAGCAATTATGCAGTGACAATTAAACAGTGCATAAGCCACACAATCAAGGAATATGCTGTTCCATTATATGACGACGCTTATTAAAAAAACCTGCTGAATTTTGAAAACATGCAAGTCACAGAAGCCATAGCTTTATTTAACGAAACGTTTTTGATGATCATTCGAGGCGAAATCGTTAAATGCTCTTAACGAAAGGCAAGACGATAAAGAACAGACAATCGTCACAAAACTGAACATAACAGGTTTTTAACCACTAAATCAGAATAAGGTGCTTAACTGATCACACACCCTCAGAGTAAATTAGTGGAGCTCAGGAAGCCGAAATTTGAGGGTTTAACAACCAGGTCCAGAGTAGCATGGAGCACGCACAGCAAGATAAACACGAAATATTTTCCATCGTTGGGAAAAAGAAATGGTACTCAAAAATCCATTCAGTCTCTGAAGCTGAGCAACCGAATTATTACAAAGACAGAACAAATATTAACTGAACTTAAATCTCACCTGTCATCAAACTACCGTGAGCGAAGCGATGGTACAGAAGGCTCCGCATATTTACAAAAAAAAAATATCACAGCAAAGTGAAGCATGCGGCAGAAATAAGCTTTAGCCGCTCAAATAACCTTAAACACGCGCTCGGGTGGGGGTGAACTTGATTCCGAACGGTTTTGCGGAATGGCTTCCGAACGACGAGGCGTAGCCGCACCAAATCTTGCATAGCTGTAGACAATTTAATAGTGGATTGTTTGGCATCCCAAAGTTAGATATTACTTGTAAGGTCGCTGATCTACAGCAGGTCAAATTTAACCATGGATGTAGCGAAAACAATTTCTAGGGAATCGCTCAACCTAATGCAAAAAAAGAGAAAAACAACGGAGCGTTAAACGAGGCCGTGCATCTCTGAGATAGTTTCATAGGCAACACGACAATTGAATGAACAAATTCCATTGACCTAGAGGCTGGTATGAAGGTCAGACCAAAGTCAAAATCTGCCGATTTATTGCTCTATAGCTTGCTGTATGGGGTTGTTTCTGGTGCTCATTTCGAATTTATTAGTAACAGGAACCACATGACACATCTTCTATGGACTCTTTAAAGGTCACAATAGGTCACTGACCTAAAATGACCCAGGCCATTATTTTGGTCATTATTTATTTCACATAAAATGGTCAATATTGTGTTTTTTAAGAACCTACTACCTAGCGTACTGTTTTACGCTTATCAAAATTGAGAATTCAAAGCAGCCTTGTATGATTTGGTAACCATGACCAAAGAAAGGTCAAGCAAGGTCA